AAAAAAAAAAAAAAAGAAAGAAAGCACCACTACTTCCAAGATATTAAATTGCCATGAAAGAGAATTATCACTACCTTGTGTTCAAAAGAAATGTGAAACAGAGCATAAAATGTGAAAACGTAAAATAATAAATTCTAAATAATCAAAGGAAGCCATATTAAGTTGTCACTATTGATTCAAAAAGAGATTGTAATATTGGAGTTTTTCTTGGAAAAGGGCATGAACTTATTTTAATAAAAGCCTGAAATTCACAAACCAATGAAAACTGAAGCACAAGAAGTCAATAGATTTCTAGTAGAGGGAAATGCAGCTGCTTTTATTTGCCAATCCCTGCTAAGGTCTGAAAGAGACTTCTTCAGCTTTGCAATATGCCTGTTTGCATTACAAAATCTAATAATTGTTCAAGGATCATTTTGCCAAGTGTGGTATGCCTTGAAAATGAAATTCTTTATTTCTGTCTATGGGCATATGAGCATATTATTAATGAAATGGGTAACATTATTACAGTGTTCTATACTTTACAAATCACTGATTTTTATATAATCCTAAGAAAGTCCTATAAGATAGGTATTATTATGGTAAAAGTAATAGGTCCAATTAAAAGAAACTGAGCACTAGCTGGAGGACTGTTCAAGGCTGCACAACTACTGAGTGGCTATAAGTAAGAGTAGAACCCGCTGCCACTTGATTCCCAAGCCAGCACTCCTTCCCCTGCCTCTTTCAAAATATCACACAGTCTATCTTCCAATAAGACTCACTATGTATAAGCACGAGCCTTTGAAGTCCAACACATATTGTTTGATCCCTCATTTACCCTAACATGCTATGTGAGTTAACTATACCTTAGTTTTCTCCCCCAAGAAAATGAATAAAATAAACCAGCTACTTCATACAGAGCCATTCTAGTGTTTTAATGGGATAACAGTATGTGACATGTACTAAAGAGCCTGGAAATAGTTGAAATTATTATGAAGAATACTTTAATCAGGCCCAAGGAGCAATTTTGTCTCACTTATTTAGTTACTTTAGGGAAAAGATATTTCAGGCCCTTATTCCCTGCTTGTATTGTTGTAGTTTTAAGAGTCAGTACAAGAAATACTACAAAATGTAAAAAACAGTTGTCAGCTTACAATTATATTCGGCTATATGTATCTAGCTGATGTAATTATCAAAGAGCATTACTAGAGTCAGTATCTAAGATTAGGAATATAAAGTGTAATCATTACTATGTCTCGTTATTGCTGAGTATTAATCAGAGTTTTAATTATTTAAAAGAACATTTAATGAATGCTGTCTATTCCACAGAGGCTTTTCATGCACCAATGATAGGGGAGAAAAGGTACATCTATTTTGAAAGAATAACGTCTGTGACTCTTTCAACTGTTAAATTACTTCAATTATTTTCCATTACCCTAAAAAAATCAGGTAGATTAAGAGGTATATAATAGTCTCAATGACCTCATCTACCTTCAAACAAAAGAAAGCTACTGGAGTAGGAAATAATGAGTTGAATTGTTGAACCAGAGTTTTGGTAGAAAGAGATCAAGAGATATTCTCCAGGAAAAACCTTCATCTTTTGCCTTGTTCTACCCAAAACAAATTCCTAATTATTTTTATCAACATGGATAGATTTTAGAACATTAGGAAATATACAGTGTTTTTTTTTCTCATAATTATTCAACTAACGGAGGGAAGGAAGCCTTGATAAATCCTGAGAACAGAAGTTCTTAACTTGAGGAAAGAAGAATCAGACCAGATCCTGGGGCAAATTCAGTTACGTGTACGTACATATGAGCATAAGCATAGCTACTTAATTAAATACAGGTATCCAAGGCTAATTATCCAAAGACTTGCATTTAATTTAATTCCTACCCTGCCACCAACTAACTCTATGATGTTGGACTCATTGTTTAAGCTCAGCCTCAGTTTAATTAAAAATTAGGAATCCTAAAAATTATACTGCTTATCTGATAGAATTTCAAATAATATAAGCAAAAGCCCTTTCTGCTTTGTGAAACAGCATATTGGAATATGGAATTGTTGGATTTTTATCTATGCAAAAAAATTAATCTAAATTTCAAATATTGTCTTAGGTGATCCGAAAGGGAGAAGTCAGCTGTTGTTGGACCTGTACACCTTGTAAGGAGAATGAGTATGTCTTTGATGAGTACACCTGCAAGGCATGCCAGCTGGGGTCTTGGCCCACTGATGATCTCACAGGTAATCTATCACAATCTTACACATATAAATTAACTGAAAAAAGACACAGGCATGGTGGGGGTCACATCTCCACGTGTTACTTATCTTGGGAAGTCTTATTTATGAAACAAAGAATTTCTTTGTGAACACAAGCCTTCCCAAAGTCTGAGCTACTTATTAAAATCTTCAAATCTCCAGGAGAGATCTGCCTATATGCCCATCCTCATTCCAAAATTAAAACAGAATTCCTAGCTTGTCTATTGGGCATTCTTCCGTCATCCCCGGGACATTCTCAGAAGTTCCTAAGTAGGTTCCCAGTTAAGTGTGTCATTTTGGGGGAAGAGAAAGAAATTTTAGCCAGGAAGTGATGAAAATATGTCATGACATGTCCAAGAACAAAAAATGTAGCACCCAGTTGGGCAGAATGTCATCTAAAGTTCTTTACTTATCTTAATTGTTTTCATTGATTGAAATCAGGAGGCTCCAACTAATAAGTTTTCAAGTATTGTTGGCACAGGGCAAGACTTGATTTTACTTTATTTTTTGTTTTGTTTTGGTTCTTTGTGCCAAAGATGTTAAAGAATATGCCATTGCGTTTTCTATTCTACATTTTATAGTCCTTTCTAATTTTTACAATATAAAAACAGAATATACCTTTCATACTGTCTTTGAATTTTTCTTTGATAAATATTTACTCACTCATGCTTATTTGCCTACCACTAAAAATATAGAAATAAAAATACTACATCTATCTTAATAAAGTTTACAGATTAATAAAGAAGGCAATACGTTAAAATACGATAATATAATAAAAGGACATAGATTTATATACACGGGAGCATGAGGACAGCACCCATGAGCTGAGTCTGCAAGGGAAAGAGGAAGAAAGCTTGCAGGCAGAGGGCCCACCATGTGGTATGTCAGGTTGTCTAGTGGTTTTAGAATTTAGATGGATTTAGCACAAAACTTCTAAAGGCTAGCTCATAAGGTCATCAGTGTTAGATTCCGTCTCTCCCAAGACAAATGATTTTATTCATAGTAGTTGTATTCACTTATTTCAAAAGTCTGGTTATAAAAAATTCCATGATCCTGGATCTTTCAAGACACCTCACTTTTTTTTTATAATGATTGATATGTATACAGAAGACTTTTCCTTTTCTTAAAAAAAAAATCTGATTTAATAAAACACCAAAGTGCCTTGTGATAACATTTGAATCCTATTTTTGCCATTAGGCTCTGAGCTTTCTGATGCTCTTATTCATCCTGTTTTCCCCAGAGCTGAATCAGTGCTAAACACAAAGCCTTCAATAAATTTTGTTGAATAGATGAACTGTAGTGTACCTATGTGCACACACACAGTAAAAATGTCAAAAAGAAAAAAAAAATACTATGATTGGTTTTCTTGAAGGAGGGTGAGGAAAGCAGTATTGCTGATCTTTTCCTTATTCTACTTCTTTACCTGTTTTTCTAATTTCCAACTGGATTATTGTGAAAATGAAAAGTTGTCTTGCATCATGAACTAACTTGCATGGCTATACACCTTGAGAATGAATATATAGATGTAACTTTTTGCACCATGCTTTGTAAGTTTATGCTACTGAGAATGAACACAATCTGTTCTTTCATTATTTCAACAGATAAATATTATTGCTATTTCAATTAATGTTAGATACCAGAGAAAATGAGGTGAAAAAATGGCAGTGGTTCCTGCATCAGTTGTTCCCTCCATCCTAGTCCTTATATATCTCATCATCTTGTGGGGAATGAGACATAAAACAACACATGCACATGGCTGGTCAGCTATTTGTTTGCTAATGGGCTATTTGTGTACCTCACTGACAAATTGTATATCAAGTCAAAGAATAGGAATTAAAAAAATGGAAATATTAGGGGGGTCATAATTTAAATTTGTGGCCATAAAATTTCTCTCTGAAGAAGTAAAAATTAGCTCAGACCTAAATGATAAATATAAATATTTAGCCAATAATGACTAAGAAGAGATTTCTGTCTGGGAAAACAGCACATGTGAATGTCTCTATATGGGTAGGCAGGTAGGAAAATGGTGTCAGAAGAGGTTAAAAAAAAAATGTAGTAGGGGCAAGAACCTATGCAGCCTAGGGGAACATGTTCAGGATTTGAGTGTTTTATTATATAGACAATGAGAAATCACTGCAGGATTTTAATATAAGAAAAAAATACATGATTATAAGTATATAATTTTTTTTTTTTTTTTTGAGACGGAGTTTCGCTTTTGTTGCCCAGGCTGGAGTGCAATGGCGCGATCTCAGCTCACCGCAACCTCCGCCTCCTGGGTTCAGGCAATTCTCCTGCCTCAGCCTCCTGAGTAGCTGGGATTACAGGCACGTGCTACCATGCCCAGCTGATTTTTTGTATTTTTTAGTAGAGACAGGGTTTCACTATGTTGACCAGGATGGTCTCGATCTCTTGACCTCGTGATCCACCCGCCTCGGCCTCCCAAAGTGCTGGGATTACAGGCGTGAGCCACCGTGCCCGGCCCGATTATAAGTATATTTTTAAATATCATCCTGGTTACTGTTAACAAAAATAATTTGGGAAAGGATAGAAAGTGGAGACAGAAAGACAACTTGGCGAGCTGTAGACAAGAATTCTTATTGTCTTGAACTAAATAGTGCATTGGAAGATTTGAGGTATACTTTGAAGTAAAATCAACATGACATGCAGATAAACTGGATGATGAAGGTATAAGGGAGTTGCCAAACTTTCTTTTTTGAAGACTAGAAAGATTATTTCGTAAAGATCAATAGTTTAGTTACAGAAAATATCAGAGATGTCTTTGAGATTTTCAAGGGCTGATTAATAAATTTAGACCTTAGCTTGTGTCAGAAAGTGTAATTTGGATTAGGAATACAAAGATATAGTCTAAGTTCCTAAGAAATATATAATCTTGCAGAAGAAAAGCATGGAACCAGGTAGCAACAGTGCTCTTGGCGTTACAGGTGAGGAATAAACAAAGTATTATGGAAGGGTAGGGGCCAAAACTAAGCCTGGAGAACCTGGGAAAGTTTAATCTTGAAACGTGAGTTAAAGATCACTTTACAAAAAAGTTAAGAAGGTACCTGAAAGAGGAAGTAGCTCTTTCGGAATTATTAACATCATAAGCTAAGGAAGACTGAGGAATGACTAATAGGCTATTGGTCTGCCTCATATAAAAGGTGCACACATCTTTATATACTCTGTGTTATCTCAAAGATGTCCTATTTATAGTGTAAACACAAATCCAAATCTTTGCACTGTTAATTCTATCTCATCCTTCTTTCCAGTCAACTTTCTTGAGTAATAAATCTTTCTTTTATCTCCCTCGCTCTTATCAAAGCAATTTTCCTCCCGCCTTAACCATGCTGTCAGAAATATTTTAGCAGAAGACATCTGTGGCTGCCACATGGCCAAACTAATAGCCCCTTGTCAGTCCTTACTTTACAAACATTTCTGCACAATGTAATGAGCTTGATGCTCAGCAGTCTCCTGAAGTCTTCTCCTGTGCCAGCCATATAACACAGGTTTCTCTTATCTACGCAAACACCACTTCTGAGTGTTTTTGTTGTTGCTGCTGTTGCCTCTTTGGCTTAATCTAGATCATTAAAAACGGATGTTTCCCAGGGTTCCATCACTAGCTCATTGTGCTTTTCCCTTTACACAATCTCTCCAAGTGATGTCATCTACTTTGATGGTTTTAATTATTACCTGCATGCTGTGAATTCCCAGTTGTACAGCCCAGCTTGTATTCTTTTCCTCAGTTTGAGGATCATGAATATAACTACTTGCAAGATATCTCCACTTGGTTAGTCCTCACTTATTTCAGTCCAGTATATCCAAACCTCATCATTTCACCATTGTGCCCCAATTAACAATAAGCCTGCTTTTCCATTCTCCGGGTGGATATGGCCACCCAAATCCAGTCTCTTATCAACCCTAATGCTTTGATTGCCAAATCTTCCCAACCACTTGTCCTCTTCTCCTAGAACAATTCTTCACTCAATTAGGTTTTCATCATCTCATATTTAAATATTGCAGTAACATCCCAGTTTATTCCCTTGCCCTAGATTTATGCCACATGCCTCTAAATCCACTTTTCATCTTGCTATTTTTTAGAGAGAATTCAGATTTTTTTTATGACAAAAATTACACAGTTTATTATGTTGAGACAATTGTTGCAGACATAAATACTTAAAATTTTCTAGGTAAGATACTTTTAACAATTTTTTTAAATTGGAAAGAACCAATAACTTGGATCATAGCTCACACAAAATTCCAAATTAAAGTGGATTCTATTGTCCCCCTACATTTTGCAAACAATGCTTTGTATAACACTTCTTTAAAACACTAAAGGAGACAGCAAGCTGAAACTTTTTTCAAAGCACACAAGAAATAGTGACATCACATTACTTGAAGAAGGTGCTGAGGGGAGAAGATGACCTTGCTATTGAATAATGTATCCTAAATACAGATGTGTCTTTTTTGTTTCCTTGCTCATATAGGAGAAAGTAATTATCTTTTCTTCCCAGCTTAGGTTTGTGACTGAAGTCCTTGTAACAAGATATAAACTAACAAGAGAAAAGCATATAAGTTTATTTAATGTAAGTTTTACATAGGGAAAGGAAAACACAAAGAAATAGGAAAACTTGTGCATTTTTATGCTAGGTTTGATAGAGAAGTAGTAAGTCATAAAGAAATATGATTAGATGAAAAAGCATGATCTAAGGATAGTTAGCTGGGGAGAACTCAGCTATCCTGTTTGTTTAGATTGCTGTCAGTGACCTTGCGTTTTTAGAGATAGACAGATGTTCACTTCCTCAGGGGACAGACAGAGCACCTGTCAAATGAATTTTATGACCTGCTTTCAGGGGAGAACAGTGAGGGGAATGTAAGAGTTACCTTCCTGCTTCTACTGTTTTCTCAAATGCCAAGGTGCCATATTTTGGGGTAGTGTATCCTGAACTCCATCACTCAAAACTTACCACTGGTTTTATATCTCTGTATAA